TGTTTGTTTTATTTGTTTATTATAATGTGCTTTTCCTATTCAAACAGAAGATTTTATTTATTGTACTAAATATTTTTGTACAACAGTTGTACAACAACTAAATAATTGTATACTAAATAATTGTACAACAATTTGTACTAAACATTCGGACATGACACACACATAATTCAATCTTTGTTAATTTACAAGTGTATATAGTCTTGCAACTGAAGATGACTAAATAAATAGTCGAAACGTTTTGCTTCAACATAGTTTTTTACTGCACAACATCTTCTGCAACATTAGTTCATACTAGCCCAGTTAATACACACATATGAATTTATTTATTGTGTTTAATATTGAGTGTAATATTGTTATGTGCTCTCAATGCACGCGTTGCGCGCGCATTTTGTACGAAAAGATCTCATGGGATTGCGTGCAAGGATGAATGTTAAGGATTCAAAGTGTCTGGCTCTCGGAGAAAGAGAGAAAGGGAGAGCGAGAGCTCGCGAGCTCGATCGTTGTACGCAAACGACTTTAACCCACTCGGAGATAATTCTCTTCCTGCGCTGCCGGTTCTTCCCGTTAATGAAGCGCGCTTCTTTCGATGATTTAAAGTCAATTTACCGTGAGCGTTATCACGCTCCGGTAGTTACCATTTAGCGCTATTTAAGCGCGAATTTCAGGAAATTTATGACGTTACAGGACCGTTACATTATTTAATAAACGTAATGCAGGGGCGAGGTCGTACATCCGCGCGAAAGCACACTCACGCGGAATAATAAGTCGATGAATTAAAAAATGAGCATCGAACGAGTTAATTGATTGTGAAACTACACAACTTTCTAAGCAGAGATCCAATGAATTTTTTATTGCAGAATATTTAATTGCTCTTTTCTTATTTCTATGTTGTTTCGACATTATATGTAAAATTGTAACGTCTTATTTTAACAGAAAAAAAAAATCGAAGGCAGTATACGTCTACATGTCTGCACATGATGAGGGTGTTAGGGATACTCCCCTACAAAAAAGTGCTTAAGTCCATCCCAATCGTTGGGAAGTTTAACATGAGAGTAGTTCTGTCCCAGAGACAGCATGTTCAAGTCGACTGCACAGTCGGTGTTTAGACATAACGTAAATATAACCAGAATGCTGTACAATTTCTTGTACGGTAGAATCGGACTTTTGGTCCTGAATAAGTGTCTGTGTGTTCCCTTGCCTAGAGGCATGCGTGTTACTAGCCCGAGACGGATCATCGACTTCCTGTTACAGGGAGTGAAAGTGTACAGCGGTGTATCAACCGTACAACATACCAAGAAACAGACAACGCAGTGAGAATGGGCCATCGCGAAATAGCGGAATTAATACTTAAACAGTGCCGGCAGTGTCTGAACGTGGACAGGTGCAAGGACTTCAGGAATCAGACGACGCGGGAGATAATCGAGAAGAAGCTACAGAACTTGGTGCCATTGTTGGCCCAAAGCCAACATAGAGAAATAGACGAGCCCAAAAGCCAAAATAGAGAAATAGACGAGTCCAAAAGCCAAAATGGAGAAATAGACGAGCCCAAAAGCCAAAATGGAGAAATAGACGAGCCCAAAAGCCAAAATGGAGAAATAGACGAGCCCAAAAGCCAACATAAAGAAATAGACGAGCATACTTTGACACATCATCTGAACAATAACGACAAGTTAAACTTCCTAAAGGATTTAGAGCTCGTCGAGCTGGACCACTCAGGTGAGCACCACGAAGGACTCTCGCCTTCGTGGTGCTCACTGTAGCCATCCAGCCATCCATCATCAAAAATCATCAAAGTGTGTGAAACGTTCGTCGACCCTGCGTGCCGTCGATAACGCTGTGAATTGCACAACGACGAATAAATCAACGCTGAGATCTGTACCAATCAAGGTCAACAATTCGAGTGCATTTGCTTATTATCCTTTCAATTCCTATCCACCTCTCGTTCCATTCGGGACAAAACCAACGTCCCACTCAACAAGGCATCGCGATTATCCGATCCACGCCTCAACATGTACAATTTATCGGTTTATTGTTGATGAGAACGGCAGCAGATCGACAGAAATGACAAAAACGACACAACAAGATGTGGAATGCAACTGTTTTTTTTAACGCACCAATGTATCTTTCGTACAAATATATAATATAGTGAATAAACAAAAATAAGAATGTTACTTGTTATTGTGTTTTTTGTCTCGCTACCTCATTCTTTGAGCGTCATTTTTTTTCAACTCTTTTGCTTGCCGAATTGGCTTTACTTCACGCGGTGAAAAGAGCACTTTTCCTTGGGTGGTTCCAATTTAGGCGCGCACACCCCATGACTCCCCTACGTTAGGTGCGCACTGGGCGGAGCGCACCTAAATCTCGCTAGAGCGAGACGCTTTCGGGAGAGATCGATGTTATCGGCGATTCGGGACGAGAAGAGTTAGGAGAAACGGAGGGAAGGGGCGTGAATTACCTGGACTCACGTGCGAAAAACGGGCCGAGATGTGCACGATTTCGAGCTGTGCATTTACTTCGTGACGTGCCTCTCAGCCGGGAACAGACTCGGGTGTCGTTCCCTTTCGAGGAACGACGACGCGCCTTCCTGCACTCTCGGATGGCTTCGTGCTCGCTGCTGATAAACATGTATACGCACATGCACATTTACATAACAATATTCTATCAACCCCGTACAAGTAAATAAAGCGAAAGAAATTACATACCGCGTATGTACGTTTGACGAAGCGCTTCTTCACGTTGATTCCGCGATTTCGCATCGGCGACGCGCATCACAAAAATCGCAATCCGAATCGAAAGAGACCGATTCAAATAAAAGAAGCGTTTTAACAGCGACCCACTTCTTGTTCGTATCTCCATTTCTCGTGTGCGACTTACCCTCCTCTTTCCCACCCTCTGACCCCGTGTGCTTCACCCTACCGAGCGCTTTCGCAAATCTCCCGTATCCTATCTTATCCTGACTTTCTCTCAGAAGAAATAACTGCAGTCGTACAATGCATCTCCTCGAGGCGCTACACGTTCGCCAACAACACGACGCAAATAGAAATAAAAACGCTAGCTAAACGCGAGGGAGAAAAACAAGAAAAGGAAGAAAACTACGCGCTCGTCTTCGGCAAACATTTGCGCGCTTCCTGATACAGGAGTTTTTCTCAAAAGCTTTCTCTCGAAGAAACGCGAGACAGCGGAATTGTCTCGATTGATTGACTCAGTTTTTTTCCTTAATTTTAATATATAAGAAATTGATTAACTTCAACACGCATATCTGACGCTAATCATCGTATTCTTACTTAAAACATAAAATTGACATTAATACACGGAAAAAAAAATAATGTTGAATCAACAATATCAGTTTAATTGAAATATATTCTGTTGATGCAACATCAATATTATTGCACTACACACAGCAGATAGTTAGCTTTAAGAATCTAGACATTAAATTAATCGCACGTGCAATTGAATGAACTATTTATTTTTGTGGCAGCCCGTGACGTCAACTTCGATTGAAGCAACTTCATTTTTTTTTCTGTGTACAATTTTATTATTACAATTATTACATTGACTGGATTTAAACAAGATATGCCGCGTGATGAGGATTGACCACTCTTGTTTTCCTTCTTCTTCTCTCTTTCTTTGATTTCAAGATCGTTCGTCCGATCGAGCGCACCGGATCGATCGAGATCCGCTGGCGCGATCGACGCGGCGTCCCCGATAATGACATCGGACACTCGACGAAGACAACAAAACTTCGAGAAGAGCTCGCGCGCCTCGCGGATTGTTTCCCTCGCGAAAGAACGAAACGCGAAGGCGCTTTAATGAAGAGAACGACGCGGAAGAATACGGCGAAGAGAGAAAGAGAGGCGTCGTTGTGTTGCGCGTTATATCAGTGCGCATGCGAGACAACGATTAGCGGGACGTTTAAGAGCTCACTGAATCACGGGAGCTTGAAACACGATCCGGATAAAGCGAGAACGTACCGAAGACGTTTCGAACAAGAAGGAAGGAGTGATATTTTGTTGCTGACTCGGCACGAAGATCCGCGAAGCGATTATTGCAAGCAAGAGAAAAAAAAAGAGCGAGAGAAAGAGGAACGAGAAAATATTTATTACGAAAGTTGCCAAGCAATCAGTGCAGAAAACAAATCACCGTAGCTCGAATAATATATGGAGAATATAAGAAAAATATAAATAAAAATAAATAAAAAATAAAATATAATTAATCGATATTCATCAAAATGGAATAAATTACTTAATACTCATCAAAACTTGATTTTTGTAGATGCAAGAAAAAAAAGTCTTTTCTTATGAGAAAAATAAGAACAGCAGCCTTGTACTTCCATTGTCAAAGAATTAATCAGAGATGCCAACTCTGTGCGTGTGTTCGCGATTCGTCTAAAATAAAGGAATATAATAGAGATCGACAAAGGCGGTATCGAGTCACAAAAGGAAGAAAAATAGAGATCACGGAAGTAAAAAAGGAAGTAGAGGGTATTATGTGAGATCGCGAGTGCGCAGGTTTGCGCATTCTTATTTCCGCGTTCCTTTTTCCTCTTTTTTCTCTCTTTCTCTCTCTTATAATACACACACATACACCCACACACACCCACACACACGTATTGCTGATTCATAGATTGAAATAGTTCATGTCAAAGGGCGAATGCCGCGGATACGAGAAAGAAATACAAAATGAAGAGAGAAAATACACGGCGGATGAACAAACGGAAAGCGCGTTTATATTTCCGATATATATATATATATTTCTCGAATCCCCTCAGCGCGACCCGGGGAAGCGATCTCAAAAGGCAGCGCTCTTCTAATTTGCGAAGATGCCGCAGTAACTTGCGGATTTTGCTTCGGCAAAAAGAAAGAATAATAATAATTTAAAAAAATAATAATTAATTATAAAAACACGCAAACATATTCGCCTGTAACTGGCGATACTGTACCTCTAAAGCAGATGCACACGCGAAATTAAAGCAAATCTAAATCTAAGTGATTAAGACTCACCGCACCGGATGTTTTTCAGCTTTCGTCTTCGTTCTCCGGACGCACGCACCAAACATCATGCAATACTGCAACAAAAATAAATATAATATGATAAGAGATCGACTGGTTTCAAATTCTCAATTCTATCTTGACAAATAAATAACACTGAACAAAATTTTTAATCACAACGAACCAGTCGAAAAGTTTCGTTGTTTCGACAAGCGAATGTGTCGTATTAAATAAACAAAGAAAAAAAAACAATAAGGAAGAAAATAATCGCGTAACTTGCACCTTTATTTCGACGCGTCGCAAGAGTAACAGTTTCACAAGCGGCATATCGCCGCTTCGCTTAAAATAATCAGCTCTTAACGGATTTAATTATTTATCTTATGTATTCTTCCTCGTGAAATGTTATACTAGTAGAAAAGTGCCCAATTTGAGGCAACCAGATCTATTAACCTATTAACCAGATCTTCGGGTTAATAAACTTCTTTGTTTTTGTATAGTTTGTAACAAACGTTTCGATCCTTAGTTTAGGGTCTTCTTCAGTGTACACACTGCATATGACAATATACAAATATATTAAACAGAACTAACGCAAGGGATTAATAACGCATAACTCGAATTACAAGGTTTTTGAAAAACTTACAGGAAGGTTCGTAGGTGTAGGAAGAACTCGGTCCATCAGTCGCGCATCGCCGTCAACCATCGCCGCGTAACCAAATCTCGATGACAACGACTCGAAAAAACACACCGAATCACTAACTAGCGCGACGGCCACCGACAGACTGAGCTACATTCTTTACGTTACCACTCCGAAAAACATTCCCCCACCGACGTCTCAATCATATCATGCGTAAACATCGCAAGAATGCCTATGTCGCTTTATACAACTTCAAAAACGAAAAATAAAGTTTTAGTTTACTCGTGTCCGATCTAACATTAATTAAACGATCTTGTATTTTGATACGAATCATTTCGGACACGGACCGTTTTTATAAAATGATTTTTCCGAGTCTAAAATTTTTGTATTTTGCCGATTAAACGTATGATCCGCATCGATTCGATGTTGTGTGACGACAGAAGCACTCTCAGTACGATGGTTAATCTGATTCTTATACTCCGCAACTCTCGTTTTGAGCTTCCTCTTCTCTGGTCTGGTCTGACCTAAGAAGCGTCACAATTATTGCATTGCAAATGATATAACTACATTTTTCCTTTGATCATATTCAATCGGATCTTTAACCGTTTTGATCAATCTATTCGATTTGTTCAGACTCCTTAATTAGTTATATTGCACGATATGCCTCAAGAAACCTCCGGTCAGTGTCGTATTTCATTTAATTTCCGCTATTGTTGGGAGTGCGTTTCATGAGAGAGGGGGAAGGAGAGCGTGTAATTGAATTGGTTTATCTTCGGCCGAGGCCGAAACTCCGCGAAAGAGAGAGAGAGAGAGAGAGAGAGAGAGAGAGAGAGAGAGGAGGGAGAGAACGGGTAACGGCCGTGGGGCTTTAGCTGCGATTCATCAGCGTCATGTCAATGCGTTTCGATGCTGATTTGCGGCCGGCGTAATCACTCTCTTTATTAAATTCCATCAACCCCGGGCGAGCACGGCCAGTTCTCGCTCGCCTCGCGACTTGCCCCTGCGCCCAATCACGAAAACGTCCGGAACTGCGGTTTGCCCCGGAGCGCCGTTTGATTCGCCGTCATCAGAGCTTTCCGCTTCAATGCCGCGCGCGCCCCGATGATGCACTCGGTTCATCGTTTACTTGCGAGAGAGTCGCGCGCGGTTATCAATTACGGTTTCGCCTACCGATCGTGTGCGCGCGCGGCTTCCGCAAATTATCATGCGGTATCGGCTCGTCAATACCGAGAGAGAAAGAGAGAGAGAGAGAGAGAGAGAGAGAGATGGCCGTATTGTAGACGCGCGCGGTAGCGTTTGAATTATCTTTGAGCGGTTAAATAATGCAGATGCCCGGATGCATTCTCGCGTTCGAGTCACGCAACACGATCCTTATCTCTCTGGCATTTCGAAATTAACGGCTCATATCATTCCAGTACTTTATCCCGCAGCCTGCGGAAGGCGGCATAGAATTCGTGTGTATAGTACGCGCGTACGACGACATATATACTTGACCCAGTCGAATCACACAGACGGCGACGACCTATTTCGCGAGCGATCGGAGACTTCTCCGCTTGCGGGTGACAGGCGATATTATTCTCTCCGCGGCTGCGGCGGCCTGATGGCCATTATCGGGCGAAGAGGGTCATTGTCGTTTAGGCACTAGTGCAATTCCACCGAGCTCGACAAGCCTCTTGCCTGTAATCATCGCGCCGAGCCCCGTTGTTTGACTACAAAGGACCTGCCTCCTTGGCCGATCCATCGGCGCTGAGATAACAATCTCCGAGCGGGTGCATGTTACAGCTGTGATTTCTCACGGATCGCGTGTGTGACCGTAGACAAATTTATCCGACGTCGAAGAAATACCGACGTCGCGCGCGGCGGGCTTCTGCGCCTATTATAACGCGCCGCGCGCGGCCGACACGCCACGCGCTCTCTCTCTCTTACGCGGGGGGAGTAAGAAATAGCGAACGAAGGAAAGGATGGAGGAAGGGATGCTAATCCCGGCTGCCATTTGTAATATAAGGACTCGTGCACGCGTGCGGCGGGAGCGTAATTACATGTACGCCCACCGCACGAATGTGGATAATGCGAGCGTTCGATGATTAATAGTAAGTACGAAATATAAAAATTTTATAGTACGGACTATAAAAAATAGTCCGCGAAGTTCTTCGTCGTCAATGAAGAATCGTTCGCGAGAAGTATGCGCGATTTTCTCAAATGTCTTTTATATCTCGCGTTAAGTACTTAAGCCGATTAATAGGCTTCCGGTCGATAAACGTTTCTAGGCATCCATGTTTTTTGACGACCAATCGGCGGAGAGTTTGTTAATCGAGACGCAGGGTACAAAAATAAATTAATTAAGGTCAAGTCTCTCCCCGGCTCTGTTGACGAAAGTATATAAACGTAAATAAACAAGGAAAAACGAGCGCGCGCGACGCGTATCGCGTTATCGCCGCAACGTCTGCTGATTCCGTGTAACCTCCCGGGTGTGCCCCACCGTTATTATTTTTCCTCGAAGCTGTTTCCCTCCCAGCCGGCCGCTGCCGCTCGGAGTAAGATGATACGTTTCGTCGTCGGCCACGGGCTATAAGGGACGAGATAAGACAAGATGGGACCGCGGGATACGAGGATCCGTATTAACTTCCTTCTTTCTTCGAAAGCGGGGAAAAAGACGGAGAACTCTTAGGACACTAATCGCCGTGCCCTGTCGCCGCGGGTTATCGCGGCCGAGGCGACGGGAAGTTGGAGGAGGCGACTAGCTCGCTTACCTTCGTGCATTCTGTCCGCACCGGTCGTGCAACGTCGAGTCAAATGAGCCTGCTTTCCGTGAAAGGACGCGTGGAACGTCCCGGCGAGGTGACGGAAACGTGTTAGAATTCTAGCGAAGCTGAGACACCGAAGCGTGTAAAACATATCGCGACGCGCCGCGCAATTATTTGAAGAGTCTCCGCTTTTCCTCTTGTCTTTCACTCGGTTTTATCGAATAAATGTTTTGCGCGACTACGAGAATTGTTTCGGTCGCGCCTTTACTCTTCGGACAAACATTTTAGTTTATTCAAAGAAAATATTCTAACGCGCGATCGCGAACTCACAGAAATAATGGGTTTTGCGCTTTTTCTCGATCTTTATTTATTCGCGATCTTATCCGCGAAAATTCAACGTCTTAACTTCCCGCGTTTTTTTTTTGCTCTCTTCGACGTTGCGCGTGTCAGAAGCGGAATTTGCAATGTTTTATTCCAACTCGTAGAAGCGTTCGCTTATTTTGCCTCGCAGATTACTCGGGGCAACGCGCGAAATTTGCAACTAAATGTTGTGCCAAAACTTTATTAATTAACGCGCTGTCGATCTTGTCCAGATGCGAACATTCAATCGCGCGGTTATATAGCCGCGTCTCCGCGCGAGAGATTTTCTATTTTACTTTTGCCGCGGTTTACGTGAAATTTACAACGATTTATTCTCCAACGTAACACGTTCTCCTATATGCGCAAGAGAGAGAAAAAAAAACATTTCAATATGTGAACGCACTCAAGTCATAACCCAAGTCATAATCCAAGTCATAGTCGTGCGCGCGCGCGCGCACGGCTTCGTATTATAATATAGTTCCTCGCGCATGACAATGAGATAAGCTACTACAATGAAATATCCGAGTCTTGAAACTCCCGCAAGAGCGAGAGTTTAGGAGAGACGAAATCACAGGGAGCGTCGTTTTCGGACAAAAGGGACGCGCGGAAGATTCCGCTTTGTACTTAAGAGAGGCTCTTAAATCATCGATCAAACTGTCGTTAATTCCGCAACTCTCGGAATACCAGCGGCTAATTCCCTCTCAAACCGACGACCAGAGATCAGGATCATTACAGCCCGATTAGACCTTGAGGAATTAATTCGACTATTGTCTGCGGGGATTTCTGTCCGCACCATAAACCCTTTTCATCAAATGTGCGTCGGAGGTTCCGTCGCCTATCTCGATCGTGTGCTCAACCCTTTTTCTCCCATCGGTTCATTTATTTCCGCCTCGCCGGAAGAACAAGAGGAGCGGGAGAGAGATAGAGATAGAGTTTTGCTCTCTGGTTGCGCGCGCGTAATCTCTCTTCCTTTCCGTTCTCTTATCATCGATCGTTGCGAGAATACCGCGAATTAATCTTTAAACGTCTATCACGCAATAGAGCTATCACGGCGAAGACTTCTATTTCGCTATCCAGATCTCTTCTGTTACATCTCTTTCGTAATCTGAAAACAATTGCTACCTCGTGACGGAAAAGAAATTAATTGCTTCACTTGTTTGTTACATCAGATAGCACAAGATAAACATGAAACGTTGAGCAAACACCGAGAGAAAGAGAGAAAACTCAAAACTAATCTTTATATAATTAAAAAAACAAAACTGTGTTACATTAAGATGTAAAAAAAAAAAAACCTCCCTAAGACGAGTAGATTGTTTCTGTATCGAGAGAAGTAATTTCGCAGTTTGATGGTGAGAAGGGAGAGAGAAAATGTGCGTTTTGCCAATGTTATACATTCGGATGATGGATGTTTGTACTTTCGGTTTGAAACAAACAGAAGATGTCGTTTTCGGCACAAAAGGAAGAAACAATCGAGATACGGGAAGCCAGACCGGGAGAAAAGACAGTTAAGGAACTGTCAAGTAAAGAGCATCGTTTCTCTTCTTGCAATTGTCTTCGTACGTATCGTAAACGTCGAGACTTTGAATTATTCGATGACGGATCCCAACGAATCGTGAATGCAAAATGCGTGCGCGGTTCCCCGAAGAGACGTGAGCGCAAATATCGGTCACGATCCCTCAACCGTGTATATATATGTATATATATGTATACGCGGGAGGGAAAGTGCAAAGTCGTGGCCGCCCTTAAACCACGAAGACCCTGGAAGAAAAGGTCCGTTCCCGGGAGAGCGATGAAAGAACCGCATTCCGCATAAAAGGAGAACCTTCACGACTGCTTTGAGATGCGGATCAACGATGTGGGAAGCCCCTTAAAACGGAAACCGACGAGCTACCCTCTCGCAGAGTGTGAACCTTCAAGATTCTGCAAGCACCACCAACCGGCCTAATCAAACGGCCT